AACAGCTATCAATGGAAAGCTCCATAAGCCACATTAAAAAAGTTTCAAAAGTTGCTTTACTACAGAAGAAAGCCTATGAGAACATCTGCATTCTAGACAAGCATGTACAGTGGACATCCCCTAAGAATTCTAAGAGAGCCTAATGAAGCATTCATTTCTTTTCTGAACACAGGAAAAAAACCCTTGTCCTGCTTACATCAATGGCAAAACTCCAATGCACTCAAATATAGAGAGGATTTTTTGTATAATGCACATTATTTCTGCTTACTCTGATATAAACCAAAATGAAACCTCCAAAAACACAAATAAAACCAAACCATCACCATAGTCAGTCCAAGAACAGAGTATCATAGAAATTGTGGGCTCTGTAATTCCACCAGTGGATTGTTTATTATATTACATAAATTATAATCAGTGTTTGAAAGTAAAATTAATTTCCATCTTTCATTAAGTGGAAGGTGCTCAACAGCCACAGGCTAGGTACAGACATTCAAAAAGCCTGAGGTGAAATTGTTCTAAGTCATACAGTTTTCTTTAAGTGGCATATTTTAGATTGATAGTGAACAAAACAAGAATTCACTGTTTAATCGGGAGTGGGGATCTTAGATCTTAGATGAGGTTCTGCCACTTTTAAAGCAGTTTGTGTGCTGAACTTCTATTCTGTTATGCATATAGACCAGTTTCCAATAACTTATACTGGTAAAAGTCTAATGTCTGTACCTGGCTATAATGTAAGTAGATATACAGCTTTTCTGTTCACGCAGCCTACCAGAAACCTGTCTCACATCTTCACTAGTGTCTCTTTCTAAGACACAAATGTTAGAGCCTACCATATACCAGTAGAATATAATCATGATTCAGTACAGTAATTTCCTTTTTTTTCCTATTTTTTTCTGAAAACAAAGAGGTTGGGTGAATAACGTGGTGCCCATCTTCAAGAAAGGAAGGAAGGAAGATCCAGGGAACTACAGGCCAATCAGTTTGACCTCAATCCCTGGCAAGATCTTGGAAAAAAATTATCAAATAATCCATTAACAACATGCTGACGGTAGACGCCATTCTGAGAGACAGACAACACGACTTCATTTTGGGTAGGTTGTGTCTGACCAACCTCATCTCCTTCTATGACCAGGTGACGCATCACCTGAATGGGGGGGGTGGGGAGAGGTTGTTGTCATTTACTTGGATTTCAAAAAAGCTTGGTCTCCTATGATGTCTTCATGGCAAAACGGGGGAACTGGCTCTGTGGTCAGACCCAGAGAGTGATTGTTGATGGAACCCAGTAGCATCCCTCGGACTGGTACTCTCTTAATATATTCATTAACGATTTGGATTTGGGTGTCAGAAATGAACTGGTTAAGTTTGCGGATGACACCAAACTATGGGGAAGTGAGGTTACACTGCAGAATAGGCTGGGGATCCAGGCTGACCTGGATAGGCTCACACGGTGAGAAGATACAAACCTGATTACCTTCAACATAGAGAAATGCAAGGTGCTCCACCTCAGGAGGAAAAACCCACATCATACCTATAGGCTCGGCAGTGCTTCACTCAGTAACACTACATCTGAAAGAGACTTGGGGGTCATGAGTGACCACAAATTGAATATGAGCCACCAGTGTGATGCCACAGCTGGCAAAGCAAATAAAACTCTGGCTTGCATGTACTGATGCATCTCAAACAAGACCCAAGATGTCATTCTCCTGCTTTATTCCGCCTTGGTGAGGCTGCAGCTGAAGTACTGCATCAAACTCTGGGCTCCACACTTTAAAAGGATGTGGAGAAGCTTGTGAGAGTCCAGAAGAGAATCACGCGCATGATAAGAGGTCAAGAGAGCAGGCAATTATGAGGAGAGGCTGAGAAGCATCGGACTCTTCAGCTTGGAAAAGCATAGGATTAGGTGGGGACTTGGTCGCAGTCCGTAAGTATATCGGGGTGTTGTAGCAGGGCACTAAGGTGGCTGCTATTTGTAGAGCTGGGATAACTACCCAGGTGTTGGTTGCTAGGGCAACCAGAGGGAGCTAGTGACCCACATCTGCCAGCGGTCAGCTGACCAGAAGGGGCAGGGCCTGGCTTCCATTTAAAAACCAGGGCTGAGGCCAGGCGGAGAGTCTCCTGTCAGCAGCCAGGGGGGAAGGAGCTCTCCCAGAACAAGTGGAGGGGAGACCCCAGACTGCAGGTACAGCGTGAGATTTGGGGAAGGATGCAGCAACCCCGATGTGGCAGGACTAATGTTGGAGCCAGATGGCTAAGATCCATGTTATAGCCCGGGGCCTGTGTTTTGTTTGCTGTTGTTACTGATGGCTTGGGTGAGGCTATAAGGGGATGGAGGAGGCTTCATAGGGGGTCCACAGCAGCGTGGGGACCCGGGTGCCAGAGAAGGCTCAGTATTGGGGGTGCGCCGACCCTGAATGCCAGAGAAGTCACTGCATTGGGGGTGTGCCAACCCGAGCATCAGAGGAGGTGCAGCATTGGGGATGTGCCGACCCGAGTGCAAGGGAGGACGCAGCATTGAGGCATGCTGACCCCAAGCCCCAGAGAGGGGGTAGTGAGAAGCCCCAGAGAGGGGGCAGTGATTGACAAGCACCTGCAAGGCGCAGTGTGAGACAAGGCTGTGGAAAGCCAGAGTGCCTGCAAAGTGCTGTGCGGGACAGGGCTGTGGAGAGCCCAAGCACCAGGGAGGCTCAGTGCGAGACAGGACTGTGGAGAGCCTGAGCACCAGGGAGGTGCAGTGCGAGACAAGTATAAGACGAGGCTGCGGAGAGCCCAAGCACCAGTGAGGTGCAGAGCGAAACAAGGCTGTGGAGAGCCAGAGCGCCAGTGAGGCGCAGTGCGAGACAGGGCTGCAGAGAGCCCAAGTACCAGTGAGACAGTGTGAGACCGAAGAACATCAGTTCCATCAGTGAGGCCTGGAACGTGGTAAAGGGGTGGTTGGAGCCACGCATAGCCCATAAGGCTGGGGTGCACAGAAACACCTGCTACAGAAATGGGGCCAGTGTACAAGAGGAAAACTGTGTCCAGGGAGACGAAGAGGCAGCCTCCCTATTATATATATTTGACATCAAAGACATGGTGGGAGAGAACTGAGGGTGCTTTGTAGACTAACTGGGCATGGTAAGGGGCATCAGGGGAGATTACAGCAACCCCTAGGACGCCATCCTGTTACAGGTATATATCAGGATCTGGGAGAATGTCTGTTCACCAGGGCTTCCCTAGTGAAAATAAGGTCCAACAGTCACAAACTGCTGAAAGACCATTTTAGACTGGACACAGGAAGAACTTCTTTATAGTCTGAGTCTCCAGAGTCTGGAATAGACTCCCCCTCACCCCCAGAAGTGTCCTACTCTGGACACATTCAAGATGCATTTGGATGATTATCTTGCTGGGGTCATCTGACCCCAGCTGGCTTCTTGCCCTTGGGCAGGGGGCGGGACCAGATGATCTTGCAAGGTCCCTTCCAGCTGTAATGTCTATGAAATCCCTGCAATGTAAAGATCACAGATGAAAGCTAAATTGTGATAAACACTCAGTAAGGGAAAGTTTAGGCTGCAATGGACCCTGCCAGGGAGCGTTGCAGTGAAAATTAACTCACCCATTCGTTTCTGCTCTGTGAATTCTGAAGGCTAATATCTGCCTCCCTGCTGTACCTGGACTGCTCATCGGTCCTGATTTTATATTGGACTGTTCTGTTTTTAAATTTTATGTCCCCTACTGATTTTTGAATGAGGAACGGAGAGCAAAAAGTCCTGTTTTTCAGTTCATTGGTGGAAATGCATGTCAGTCATTTGTCCTTATGATTCTATTGGCTGTGCCCAGAGGTAGGGCTGTGCTCAGCCAGGAAGAGAGGGGCTCCAAGCCAGCCAGGAAGGGAGAGAAGTGGTGGCCCTGCCCCTTGCTACTGACTGGCTGAGGAGATGGCCCCACCCCTCACCACTGATTGGCCATGTGGGTCCGTCCATCACCAAGGGGCTGTTCTGTATTCTGGGGATGCATCAGTGGCCACCCTACCTGCACTGTGGCTAACAGAGAGGGGGGAGGTTGGGGTGCTATCCTGATCTAATAATTACACCTGTGACTGAGTGATGCGCTACAAAGTGCATGTCACATGCTTTAGGTATTTGTTGTGCACAGAGCAGAGAGAATCAAATAGGGTGCATTTTCATGGCAGTATTACTTAGCATAGTCTAACACATCCTAAACCTCAATAAGGTAAAAATTAAGTTTCCAACATCAACATTAGCGTTATATAATTGCAAACTTTTTAAAGGTGCATTTTAATATGTTTATAATTAGAATGATGATCTCGCAAAGTCTCTTCCAGCCCTAATGTCTATGAAATCTATGCAAAGCAGGTACCTTACCAAATAAAGGGTACAGATCATAGTCCACTTAACACTGCTATTTAAAATTGGCAATGTTTTAGTATTTGTTATTTTAACTACAAAGAAATGCAAAACTCTAAAAATCTTGGTTATTTTAACAACTTTTATATTACACTAACACAATGTATTGTTCATTTATTCACATTTTTCATAGATTTCTATATCATTATTAAGGTTTTATTAAGTGGAATAAACTAGAAAGAAAAAACAATGAAAACTATATTAAGGAACAATTGTGTTCTGCTCAGATTTTGGTCAAAATTCCAGTCCTACAGAAGTAAATCCAGTGCTAATTTCCCATGATTTGGGGGTCCAGAATTTGACTCATTTCATTTACACTCTACATTTACAATAATATTTAACTTTTAATTAAGGCCTAAATTTAAAAAAATTTAATTTATCCAAAAGAATTTTACACTGTAAATAGAACACATGTAAAAGGCAAGATAGCAGACAAGGTCAATCTTGTAATATACATGTGAACTCTTTGACACTGCAAACTAAGACAGCATAAATTTACTTTTATAAATTGCTATTTTACAGGTGATATTTAAGAGTAGCAGTAGAGTCATATTCCAAACACTGGAATCAATTTGATTAAGACAAAAGGTTGCTGCACATTGTAGCATCAATCCTACCTTTCTGTTTCAGCTGCAGAGCTTTTCCTAGTCTGTTTTTGGCTGTTATATCTTTCCACCTTTCTGGACTGCCTGTGAAATGAGATGCCAAAAAAGTAAACAAAGAAGAAAAAGAATATAGAGAATATGAAGAATAAAGCTTTAATTATGCATTACATAAATCATGATATGTGTGGCTGAAAGATGGAAAACTGACAATTATTTTTCTGAAAGGGTTGGTGAATTAGGGGTTTAAATCAAAGATCAAAGATTTTATTATCATATTGGACTTTTTCATGTCTGGTGGTATAAAAGCATTGGGCTGTCAAATGGAAGACCTCACTTCATACTAGGGCAAGGAAACAGAATTAGTTCAGTCTTTTGGGAAAGGCAGTTAGTTGCATCACTTTGAGACCAGCTCCTAGCTCACAACCTACACAATATCAGATCTTTTTGATGGTCCCTTCACAAATTAGAGCATCAGTGGAACAGGGAAAAGCACTTGTGATGTCTGGGAAGGATTTTTAAAGTGTTTTTAAATCACATTTTCAAGTAAAAACAATACTTTAATAAAATCTAATGTAACAAGAATGTCACCTCATACAAGTAAAAGCTTGGCTTACTGAAAATCTTACTAAGATTGCACAAAAGTTTGAAAAATGTTCTTAACCAATTAAATAGTACTCTCTTTAATCAGTTTTATAGTTTCATATATTTATTTGTCTTTCTTATTCCATTTCCATTCAGGTCTTTCACAAACAACCAAAAGAATTCCAAGACTAAAACTCATTTGACATTTCCCTCCTACCTACTTTCAGTTCTTCACCCAGGTATAAATTAATTAGGTTAACTTTATTTTTCTCTAGTTTATCCTCACAAAAACGTAAGATCAACAACTTCTAAACCATCAAAGCAAATCTTTTGCCTGGCTAGGCATACCACCAATCCCCTTTTGTAGGCTGACCTTTTCTTTCTTGTGTCCTTGTGACAAGGTATTTAGCAGAATTTGAAGATTCACTGGTATCAGATATGGCAGTGCCACGAGTGCTTTTGCTATGACCTTGAACTCTCAAGCTCTGGGTTTTCAGCCACTCACCCCAGTGTCCATGCCACAGGAGCAGGGTTTTGTAGGCTGTGAAATAACATTTTTAATAACTGCTAGATTGGCTTGGGTAATATAGCGTGTCCTTGGGTTTTTATTTTTTTGTCTGTCTGTTAGTTGGTTGATTAGGACCACAGGAAATCTGTAGGTAAGGTAGATTGTGATGCACAAGCCAGCAGGATTCCAAGTACGGATACTTGCTCATCAGGGGTTTAGTTCCTTGATAAACCAAAATTTGAAAAAAATATATAGGAAGGTATCCTCTAAAGAAGATGGGGTAGAGCTGGGTATGCTAATGTCTACTGCAGAGAATTTTTTCCTTCACATCTTTAGCCCCGATAAGAGGAAAGGAAGGTTAGGTCCAAAAAATAGTTCTGAGTTCTGGAAGTGATTGCTAGCTGATGTACACTCAAGGGATTATTGATCTGTAGTTTGTTCCATTAGTGTTACATTAATAAAGTTGCAGCTTTGGTAAACCTTGTTCCTAAAGTTTCTTCCTCCTAAAATGTTTTCACTGGAAACCTGCATAACTGCAAATAACACTGATTTTGCAGGAAAACTGTCTAAATTACTAGACTACAACTGCTACAAAGTGTGTAAAATAAAAATAATACTATAAGGAGGAATATGGAACACCATTGGGCAGTTTCTGTACACCAGTGTAGCAAGGAAAAAAATTAGCTTATGAGGTTTGTAGTGATATCTTTTCTCCCACAAAACAACATACTATAGCAGGTCACCGAAAATAAATTGTTTAAATCATCTTTGTTGTTATGAGTATGTTATATACAGGACTCCCTTGACATATGCAGTACATGCGTTCCATGAGAATGGCACATAAATCAAATTTGCATAAAGCAAACCCACTTTACAAGGTAACTAATAGGGATAGGTTCCCATGGCAGTGAGGGATGGAGGGAGGGAGGGAGGCTGGGACTAGGGAAAGGGTTGGGGGGAGGGGTGTTGCTCCCAGGGCTGCACAAGGCAGCAAAGCAGGGGGAACAGAGTGGCACTCACCCCAGCCCATGCTGGAGCAGCCATGGCAGCAGCCAGCGCCAGCTGCCTGCAGCTGCTGGGCTGTACCATGTTCTGCCTGTGCCCTTGTGCCTGGGCTCCACTTGTCCACACTCACCTCTGCTCCTGGGCTGCACTGTGCCCTGGTGCAGGTAGCTGGCGTCGGCTGCTCCTGCGGTCGCTCCAGCATGGGCTGGGGTGAGTGAGGACAAGGAGAGCCCCAGGTGGTGTGGGGTAAGGCACTCGCCCCAGTCTCAGCTGCAGCAGTCCTGGAAGTGGCCAACACCAGCGGTCTGTAGCAGCTGGGCTGCACTGTGCCCCGAACTCCCAGAGCTCTGCCTGTTTCCACTCACCCCAGCTCCTGCTGCAGCAGCCCCAGAAGCGGCCGATGCCACTGTGCCCTGGTGCAGGCAGCTGGTGTCAGCTGCTCCCAGGGCCGCTCCAGCATGGGCTGGGGTGAGTACAGACAACCAGAGCCCTGGGCAGCGCAGGGTGCAACACTGACCCCAGCCCCGGCTGCAACAGCCTTTGGCATGGCACAGCCCAGGAGCAGAGGTGAGTGTGGACAAGTGGAGACCAGCCACAGGGGGAACAGGTGGAGCACGGCACAGCCCAGTGGCTGCAGGCAGCTGCTGCTGGCCACTCTCAGAGCTGCTGCAGCCACGGCTGGGGTGAGTGGGGCTGTGGCCCTTTCCCCTCCCCCACAGACTTACTTGCTTGGGCAAGGGGGTGCCTATGCTGATCACATAAGAGTGAATTTACCTCACATATACCGAATTATGGGCGTAAATATGCAAATTTGCTCTTATGCAATGAACATATAAAGAACCCACATAAATCAAGGGAAATCTGTATATGGAAGATTCACCCTTAAAGGCATAGAGAGACTGACTCCCTTTTCACAGATGCCACTGTAAATCACAAGCACCTTCTCTGAAATAACTGGGTCTTCTATGTACGGGTTCTCTCAATGAAAACTGTAGTATCATAAAAAGGGTGACATCACAAGGCAGGAAACAGACCTAAGCTCCAGATAAAAGGACAGAGCCTTGCAGTTGATAACCAAAAACAAATGACGCAGGAAAGTCAATATTTCTTTGCCTATATGCCTGTACCTCATGTCCAGAAAACACACCGAGTCAAAAGGACGGTGCTTAATAAAATATGGTGCACTATATATAAATACTATGTTTATATGAAAAAAAATGTTATATTGTGTCCTTAGATGTAAAGTGTGTGACAAGACATACTAAATAACACAATTAGAATATAACACATTATTAAGAAAGTAAATTATTTATAGTTCAGAAAACTAGAACAATTTACTTGGAACCAAAATTTGACTTAATAATGATACCTCTGTGTTGCTCCAGGTTTAGCACTTAGATGGTTTATACTGTCTTGTTTTGGAATGCAAGACTCCAGCATCCTTGTTCTTCACAATATTTGGAAACATGGAAGTGAATTTGGACAGAATGGACAGAAACAGAGAGATGGTCACATGCAGTGAAGATGGAGACATGCAGTCAAGATACATAAACCAACAACATTCAGCACTAATCATTGACAGTATTTCTGGTGTCCCTTTTGGCTCATTTACTTTATACATGAAAGGGGATTTTTTTAAAACGATTGAAAACATGGTAAGAATAAAAGGTATGAATAAAGTAAAGCATCAAGGCTGTTAAAGGCAAAACATATATTGAGCACAATTGAACTGTAGCACTGTAGTGCTACAACTGCCATTCACTCTTATTGAGAATAAATCTACAAGTTTGTTCATTAGAAAAATACATATAAGCTTACTCATGAAGCTTGATAAAAAAATCAAGATGTGAAATAATATTTTGGCATAAATATTGTTAAAATTGCACATTTAATGAAATACCTTCCATATGTTTACAGTTGATGAAACTGTCATAAATAATTGTAGTATAACTGGCAATTGTTTTATTTCAATGATAAGTATATAACTGCTTAGTAACCACCATACCAGCAAACTGACCCAAGCATCCTTTTTAAAAAATAATTTTTAATCCAAATAATAATCAACATATGGCTCTGGTGACTCCCATATTATTTTAATTTTATGCTTAGATGATTTTAATAACCTTAACATTTTTTTTAAAAACTCATAATTGAAATTAATTACTTTTTGACTGAGAGTTGCCAAATACAGATCACTGTACAAAGGATAACTTATTTTGAGATTGGCTATGTAAGTCTAGGATTTCATGTAATAAAACCAGTTATATAGAATCCCCCCCAAAATCCATAATGCTCCATTGTATAAAATAAGTTTATAATTTTAAATAAGACATCTTAGAATGTTCTTCATAGAACCCCAAATTATGACTGCTAAGTATCTGACTGAAAAAATCTTTACTACTTGTCAGAACATAATTAAAAGTGCTGGGTTCTATATAGAATATAGTTTTAACACTGTGGCAAGGCACTGTTGGTGCCTGCCACTTCAAGCGCTGGAGCAGGCAGCAGCCGGGTGCTTGATTGCAGCGGCCATTTTGAAACCAGGCTATAAATAGGGGAAGCAGCAGTTTGCTGTTGGCAGCCATGAGAGAGACATCAGCCAGCTGAGCTGAGGCTCAGGAACATCTTTTTGGAGGTCTATGGGCTGGGGCTATGGGGATGGAGGAAGCTCCAGGTCATAGGCATGACCTAAAACTGCACCCTGCCAGGGAAGGGAGGTCTGGTGGGACTGCCGGTGGTGCAGCAGCCCCATGAAATGCCAGGCCAGTTACCTCTCTGGTGAAAGGCGGGTTGGGGACACCTAATAATCTCCAGCCCCTGCACAATCCTAGCTGGGGAATGCCCAGATCTGTCAGAGCTTGGAGAGGCCTATGGCTCACTTGTTCTCCTGGAGTTGTGAGAGTAAAAGTGGGCATGCAGCTTAGACCTGACCCAAGGGACCTTGACTGGTCCAGGCTGGGGCCAGGACCCAGAGAGGGGTTGAAGGGCCAGGGGCCCACTGTGAAGGATGCCCAGGGAGCAAGAGGCTCAGGATCCCAACTGGCCTAAGATGGGGCCAGGGCCTAAAGGGGAGCCAAAGGCCCCAGAGAGGGGACCACAGCTAATAGGTGAAGGGTACGACTGAAATTAGCTGCCTGGGATGTCATCTGTGAGGCTTGGGTCGCAGTGTAGAGATGGAACAGAGCTGAGTATGTTTCCCTTAACATCGGGGTTCAAAATGGGCAGCCTCCTGGCTGTGTAACATTGTAATCATTTATCATCATGGCATGGCAGGAGAGAGAGGTGGACGGTTAGCCCAGAGACAGGTGGGCAGGCGAGCATCAAACCGGCCATGGGAAGGCCCCCTGTTACAAATACTAAACAGCCCTGTGAAATAATTATAATTCTTATGATTTTTCTTGTCCATTATTTGCAATACCCCTCCAGAAAGACAATAATTTTACTGATACTGGATATGACCCTACAGAAACTTTCATCATTAATTTCATGCATGCAGGGTTGTCCCATTAAATATGATACATGAATGTAACAGTAGAACTATTGGAGCTCTTCATAAAACTGAAGACATTCTGACTTCACTCAGGATACAAGGGTGCTAGATGGGAGTGGCATTGTAGTCTACCACAAGAGGTCTCTGCAAGGAAATTTCCGGAACAGAATCTTTTTGTTATTTGAGTTACTCGCATAGCCAAAGGCCAGAAAGGAGCTCATTGGAAATTCTATTTGGAGCAAAATAAGAGTTCCACCTGCTTACAGGGAATTCTATGGACTTCAGGTGATTTACTTGGATGCTCAAAGTAATTTATATGTGTGCATTTTCAGAGTCAGGCTATTTGTCATTATCCATTTAGCAAACACTGAATTGCTGTTATAAAGCTATATGATCAATCATGACGAGAACACAGCTGGAAGAAAAATAAAGCACCCTACAAATCTGAATGTGAACACATTCTCCCACTCAAGTTAACAGGAGTTATGCTGGGCAGAATGTACTTCAAGATGAATCAAGCCCACTGGTTGTTAATCAACTGACGGAGTAGACTGTAGGTGAACAGAAAGTCTTTGAACTGTGAAATGGATACTTTTTTCTTTTAAGAGTGTTCATGAGTAGAGTGGTAGATATTTAAAAAAAATAGCTAGGTTTTAGACTGTTGTTGCTATTTAATTGCTTGTTCTAGCAAGGATGTCTTAAAAAAGCCAAAAATCTCTCTAAACCCCACTATGTCATTCATTTGTTTCCTACAGCTAGATTATCAAATGCTTTCATAAGATAACACCAGATAAGGGAGAACAGCTTTGTGCCAAATTGCTGATTATTTTTTTCTTTTGACATAGGGACATCAGGCTTCATAATAGGATTCCTTCTAAATTCAGTCTTTTCCACACAACATTACCATTCAGTTCCATCAGTATAAGAACTTTGATGATGTGGGTGAAGCACAAGTCATCAGTGACTTAGGGTTTCTATGCATGTACAGGGAGGCTGCTCTGACACACTGTAATTAGTATGGAGCTTGGTAATTACCATGCTCCAACAGACTCCAGCATCATGTGTATCAGTGTCCCTGTACTGAAAAATGACAGTGGGGCACTTTAAACTAAAGCTCACCATTTATCAGCATGGGGACGCTGATGCACGTGATGCTCCAGGTGCTTTAATTAGCCCATCTCTGAAAGCCATGTTAATTAAAGTGCCCCCCCCACTGCCTCCCAATGCCCATCTAAAAATGCTCTTATTTAATATGGATAAAAACTGAGTGTTCAGGCACCTTTCAGAAGTTGCCAGGGAGGCAGTATATGGGCATTTGTAGGTGAAACTACACAAGCCTACTACATTCATGGTCACCTAAGCCCCTGGTCTCACTAGATCCTTCCCTATAGAGAATGCCTTGAAAGATAAAAAGTCTGTAAGTCAGTACTCAAAGTCCACTTCCTCAAGTGTCCAAATTGATTGAAGGATGGGATGGTCAAGATTTCCCCCAATGGTAAGGTGAGTTAAGTATTCTAAAGATAAGCCTCCATAACAGAAGCAACATAAATCTAATAGAGTCATTCTAGGCATTTGCCTAATGAAAAATTTCTATTTCTTCTAGATAGTCTCAACAGCTTTGATTTCAACATAATAAATTGGCAATAGCTGGATTACTGGTGCCACAGTCACGTATTCCATACATACATATTGAGCATACATACTTTATCTGACCTCCTAATTCCTGCACAAGTAAAGGTAAATTTCTATCTTTTCCTATCTTACTTTACCGGAACTGGATGACTTCATAAGGTTCCAAGATAGAATGTCAAGGCTAAAAAAATATCCCTTCTCCTCCTATAGTACTTAACCTGTATTTTCCACATCTCAGTTTAGATAAAAGGAGTTTTACAAATCTGATTTTTAAAATAAGTTTAATTTCTAATGTTCTGGGAGAAACTTATGAATATGGGGGGGGTTCTGTACATCTTGCTGATGAAAGCTTTATATTATAAAAAATAGTGTTATATGTAACATGTTTCAGTGTGTATGTGTCTCTTCCTGATTTGGGCTGATTGAATAAAGCACTTGTTTTATATAAATACAACTGGATTTTGTAAAGGTCTTTTTATGCTCCAAACCTCATAAGAGCTTAAAATGTAACTGAAACCTCTGTGAAAAAATGGGTTTCTATTTTCCCCAAAATAATTCCTAAAGGTGATGTTCAAAGGATCATTTACAATTTGGACCATTTTGGACTTTTTCTTTTTGCCTCTTCATACTGTATAAGGGAGGTTTGAAGGTTTTAAAATGTTTTTTAAAAAACAAACTTATTATATTGATCTAAAACACCAAGTTTCCTGTTTTTGCTGGAAGAACTCTGTAAGACCTCAATAAGGCTTATTGAGAGCTTTGCCATCTTAATTGTAGTACAAGGGTCCTGAATATTAAGAAAAGCTTCCATTATCCACAATGTTAATAAAACCCTAGAGTTTCCCAATACAAGGAAAAAAATGAAAAAAAGGTCCTTTCCTTGTCAACTGCTTGATTTTCATACCCTTTGCTTTTCTCAGCACTTTTGATCTCACCATGCACTGAGCTCTCCAGTTATCACAAACTCTTCCAGCCATCTAGACAGGTTCTATACATGACCAGATTTTCTAATATGAAAACAAAGAATGCTTCCAGTTTTTCTATCTGATATACCCTAAAGAAGCACATAATAGATTACACAACAACACATTTTTAACCTCTAAAGGAATTGTGATCTATTTTCTCAGCTTCTCTAAATATACTGTGAGGTGATTTTTCTGCCATGGCTTGTCAATCATTTTCAGGACAACAAAATCATTTCTGAAGGCTCCCTTCAACAGCCCATTTTGTTCAAAATAATTATTAATACACATGATGTTGAAAATATTGGATTTAAATGATCAAACTAAGAAATTCCACATCTGTAAGGCATATGTTTAAGAAATCAGTTGCTCATGAAGAGCTCACACTGCTTCAGTCCTGCAGTTATCTTGAGCACAGAATGCAAATTGGACCAATTTGTATGATAATTCTGGGATGTACATAAATGAGAATGGGATGACATCTGTCAAATTCAATTTATCTATGAAGCAATGATTTAAACTTCAGTATGAAAAGCTAGTCAGCCAGCCCAGTCTGTCACTCTGAGCCTCCCACATAAGTTGTCAACCTGACAAGCATTTATAAAAGCATATCAAAAGAAAAGCAAATGCCAGTACTAAATGGCAATAGCCAAGAAAAGAAAAAAAAATTACTGCAAAATAAATTTAAGAGAAATAATTAGTGTGAAATGTAAAAATAAAAAAATCCAAATTTGTAAATGTAGTTTGGTTTTGGTCCTGTCTTACATTCTGTGCCCTAGAAGGAATGCACAGAGAGGAAGGGGAAAGGAAGAATATTAATTGGTTTGAAAATGTTAGCTTTATTAACTATTTCACTGTTGGTGAATTCAGCAGAATCTTGCAATTGGTTTGGGTTTGTAGGTCAAGTCTGGAATAACTGGAGTAGCTGAGTATTATCAGCTTGGTACCAGTCCTCTGCACTATAGACTTGTAATTATTGATGAGATAAAGTATATTTAAAAACTGAATCACCTTTTGGGAAAGACCAGGGAGTGAGCTTATATTTCAGGCTCCACAAGTTTCACTGCCTCCTAACTTCTGTGTAAATACATATTTTTACCTAGCCTAAAGAGGTTAAACTACTTCAGAAACTTGCATCCAAACTCAGTGGAGACATACAGTGAGTCTCTCACTAGCTTCTACCATCCAACCTCAACCTCAAAGACCCTAAGTTGCTGTAGCTTCCATCTGTTATAGAGAAGAAAACAGTGAAAATAAATAGTGGACAGGCTGCAGCCAGCTAAGGTTTGGTGTATGCTTTCTTCAGACTCCTCTGCCAACCAGTCGCACCAGCTAGATTAGCAAATTAGAAGACTGTAGTATATTGCTTCTTTTATAATGCCTAAAGAAACACACCAGATTCAACATGAAAATGGACTGTGCCATTTTTTCTGGATGAAAAAGCAGTACAAAACAATTTCCCATTTATACAGGCACTTTATTGTGATGATCAGTCAAACTAAAAAAAATCAAGTGGTAAGAATATAGGCTGCCTATACACATGCTCGTAAGTGCGTGGAGTGGGGGGTGTTTTAATTACAGCAGTTCTTGTGTAGTTGCTCTAATTAAAATGCTGCAGTGTCATATGTATTAAGCCCCCATGAATTTAAAAGTGGCTGAAGGACACTTTATCTAATACTCATTTGCCGTGGTTTAAGTTAAAGTGTCCTGTAGAATTTTTAAACACATGGGGGCTTAATTCATGTTAAACTGCATCAATGCTGCAGAGTTCTATATAGAACACAGAGCAAACTCGATTAATCAGAATGCCAAGTATGTGTATAGGCAGCTATACTATATAAATTAGGTCCTGAAGTGTTCCGGAAAACTCCCAGTGACATTTTACTGAGACTGTTAGAATAATATTTTCGGTAAGATATTATAGTAGCAGGGAGAAATTCTGGATCTTTTGAAATCAGTGACAAAAATACCCCTGACTTCAGGAGGAGCAAGAATTTATCCTTGGGATGTGTACTTTATACGCAAGATGCACTGAAGTTAATGAGTATCTTTGCATGGAATTCAATGAAAAGAAAATCACTTGAAGATGCCCACATTAATAAACTATATGATCTAATTAGATTATGATCTAATTCTTGAATAGTTTCCCTATAAAAGTACCAATTATTATTATTAGTAGTAGTATTAATAATAATAGATTATATTGGGCTTAATTTTATGACTATCAAAATTTTCAGGTGTTCAGTAACTGTAAACTAGTTGTGGAGTAATTGCTTAATAAATTTTATTTTATAAGTAAAAACACTGAATTTTACTTGGGCAAAAGGAAATACAATCCAGATAATCCTATCGGCTTGAAATTGCCTTCAGTGAAGCTGGTGACAATAATCCTAATACAAGAAAAGGCAAGGCAAGGCAAGACAGATTTTGATGCAAATGTAACTACAGTTGGTACACTTAAGCAGAAAGAGAATAACAGCACTAAAGTAACTGAATTGCATCTTTCATTGTGAGAGTTGTGAGAGTTTTAACCCCATAAGAGTTTGTGCACACAATTTTAAAAAATAAGAATTGAATTATTTTTAAAATAATTTACAGTGGTTTAAAGGCATAGAAATTAAATCTTACTTGTGCATTACAGTATAAGTGCTGAATTAATATCTGTCTGCTTTAATTAAGAGTGGATATAGCAGAAAAATAAGACAAGACAGGAGAAAAATGTTAATATTACAAAAACAACAGAGCTCCAAAACTGATTTAAATTATAAAAACACAAGAAAGGAAAACAATGGAAGGTTCTTACATTTATCACATTTGGCAAATCAGCATATAAAGTGGATAACCTGTGGATAATATTACTTAGGAAAGAATTTACTAACAGTGCCAATTATATGTACCAATTAATATGTACTAAAAATCTCTCTTTTCATGTACCAGGTTTTTTTTCTCATAAGCAGTTTGTTGAGCAACAGACATCTAAATGAAAACAAAAGATAATTATCATCCAGGCTCTGACATGTATCAATATATTATAAAGCACCATGGGGGGGGGGGGGGTTGGGAGGAAATCTACATTTATAGTATGAGAGAAAAACCAAATGCAGAGTCCACTAATATAAAATTATTATTTCCAGACAACTTCTTTTAGAAGCTGAAACTTGAATGTTCAAACAATTAGAATATTTTCTTGGACATAAATCCCTTGGTGCTTTATAAAAACTCAACAAAAGGCAGAGATGAAATGTGAGCTGGTACTTTATTTTGGAATTCTCAACATTAAACTTTATTAAACGCCTTTTAATATACTTCTCTGAGAGTGCAGGATGCAGTAAACCACTTTTCAATTAGGAGGAGTTGACTAGTACCTGTCATCCTCCGGAGATGCATGCTGGATATGAATCCTGGGACTAGTAGGTCGTCTCCTCTCTAGGGAGGGGGACCATCTACCCCTGTTTGCCCATTCAATAGAACAGGAAAAAAAAAAACAGGACATTTAGTTTGTGATAAAATTAAAGTAGATATGGGAACTAAGACTGGAAAAATACCCCACAAAGTCACAATAGTCATTTTTTAATTTAAAAATTTTTGTTTCTAATATATTTTTTAAAATGTGGATACACCTTTCTTATGTCACTTCTGGCATTTTTTCTATACAGCAGAGCAAATAATTAAAATCTTCCTGCATAATCGCAGAATGAAGTAAACGTTCTAACTGTATTTGAAATAGGCCCAACTCTAAAAATTTGTCATTCACACAACATGTGACAGTTCTAAACTAGAAGAGCTTGTCAGGGTTGAATGGCAGTTATTTACTGTTAAGTAAGTAATAGATTTTTCTTCATTAACTCTTTTCATTAACCAATATATTTAGAGTAAAAAAAAATGTGTGATTTTAAATTACACAAAAAACTGAAAGGCATAAAATTACCTAGTCATAGAGCTCATCTTACATAATGACTATGTAGACATCTGCTCCATGCCTCAGCTTTTAGAGACCCCTATTCAATTTGCAGTTTAAAGGCTCTAAGTAGTCAATAGCTGCCAACATATAGCAGTTGTACACATGTTTGGTTCTGCATTTATAGAGGACACTATGTATTTCAAAGGTCCCTGGCCAGTGTTATTTCAATCAGTCCATGGCCTTTTTTATGCCATAAAAACACTGCACCATATGCACAACTTCACATGCAAAGAGCAACTGTCCAGAGTGCAGAAATGTGGCTACCCCTACTGGCCAGCTGGGGAGCTCTCTAAGCTCCATGCTGGTCAGCAGCACAACTGTAGAAGTGAAAGGATGCTGGGTCCCAGGAGCTGGGTAAGGAGGTTGCTGGGGGAGGAAATCCCTGTTCTTCACAGAGGCAGACTGGCCAAAGATGCCCTTTCTCAGCACTGGATAAAGCTGGGCAAAAAACTGGGAAGGGGGAAAAGAAGCTCTCCAGTACCAAACAAAGTATACCAAATCTCTCTCTGGCACTGCGCAAAGGACAGGATTTAGACAGGTGGGGGAAAATTATCTCGCCAGCACAGAGCTAGGCATACCAGGTGCACTGTGCAGAGCTAGGGGTATGGATTCCCTCCCTCCCTCCTCCCTCCCTGCACTGGGCAAAGCATAGGGTGTGCGGGAGAGGTCTTGCTAAATGCAGCAAGAGGGATGGAATCCTTGGCCCTTGCTCCAAGCAGGGCAAGGGTTTCCCCATGTGCCTACCTCCATGCCAGGGGGGTAATTCACAATATACCCGGTGCTTTGCTCAGCATGGGGAGAGGGAATCCTTAGCACCCTGCTCTATTCCCAGGGAGAGATTTCTCTCACTTTGCTCAGTGTGTTAGGGAATAGGGGCGGGGGAGGGAGCGGACAGGGTTGCCAACCCCCCCCAAAAAATTTAGCTGACAAATCTGCAAACTTTTTACTGACAACCAAATGTTTTTGGTGATGCATGCTTTTGCTAATACATGTTTCACATAATATAAATGTAAATCTTTGGCCAGGTACTGCTCTGCTGTCAGGTTCCAGATATAAGTGCTGGGTTCAAATTTCGGGGTTTAACACCAGATATAGTAAAAAAATAAAAAATAAAAATGTTGGTTGTCAGTAATGTTTGCAGTATAAAACCCCCCCCCCCAAAAAAACCTGGGTTGGCAAACGTGCCCAACTACAGCAATGATATTATACCATGCTTTCGCCACCCTGGGAGTCCCTACTCACCTCCATACCCTGATGCCTCTGAATACACCCTGTATTATGGTGTCCCTCACCAGCCCAACCCTACTGGCCTCACTTCTCTCATCCCAGCAAAGACCCACAAATAGGCCTACCTGAAAGCCAACAGTATTACAAGACAGGTAGCAGCAGCAGCAGCACATGGCTAGAGGAGGAGGAGTATATAAAGCCCTGAGAGAAGGCTTCCTGAGGGATTGCTGCTTTGCTGCCATACACCAGTGATGTTGCTGTGCTCTTTTCTGTCATTCAACCAACCTCAGGCTGTCCAGCTTCTTTCTGAGAGGGAACTTAACAAAGCAAATGGAATTTGGTTGTTTTTCTGGATGGCTAAATTTCTTAATTATTTTTTTTTAACAGACAGGCATTTTTATCCTGATTTTTTTTACGGTCTGTAATAGTTAGTTAAAAAACCTTGTGGGGAATCCCCCACCACCTGTCAAGGCTATATTTGTGAGCCCGAGGCTATGTTCAAAGCTTGGGTTGCTGTTCTAGATAGGTGGTCTGTGAGGTGGAGGAGGGAGCAGTGCACCTTGGGATGCTGGGGAAACCAGCAAAGACCCATCACTCTATATGTAACAAGCCATGTGTTCATATTAAACCTTGATAGAAGATAGAAGCCAGCTACAAAAATGTTCTACATTTTTCTTGGTGGCTGGTTGGTCATTTTTATGGCTACCTGGCCATTTTTATCATGCAATAATTACATGTATCATGTCTAAATTTACTGAAAACTAACTAGTTAATTGCAAATAAATGTAACATGTGCCAGGGACCAAAGATACAACATTCTTTAGTGCATGTTCTTCACACTGCATTCCCACTATTGACTTTATTTTCTAGGAGCAGAGCTTGCAGCACACCAAGCATTCAATCTTTTCTGGGTAACTGCTTTTCCAGAAACAGAGCTCATTTTTTGAAATATTGATTTCTTCCTAATTCACTTTTTTAGCAAAGCTGACACAGGAAGAAATGTTGGAATTCACTTGATTCAGGTCAACTTATCCCTGAAAATGCTGTGGGTAGGAAGCCCTCACAGATATGTACAGTTCTCATGAAACACAATTACTGGGGTTGGACTAGATGACTTTTGATGTCCTTTCCCATTCTGTAATTCTATGATCTTTTTGAGAAGTTTAAAGTATTAACCACTGCTTTTCCTGTTAATTTTAACTGTTTTATATTTCTTTGACAGTAAAGTGAAAGATAATATGATATTTATAGTAAATATGATTTTTACATTTTGGTAAATAGAAATTAGTTACAGTAATTTGGGCACTTTCAAGAAAAGTATGTGCAATCTAGTTTCACTTTTTATGGTCATTCTGCTGTAGTCTAATAATTACCAGGCACTTTTTCATTGTTATGAAAAATAAATACTAAAGAAAAATATACAGAAATAAGTGGCATAAGGAGCACCGATATTTTCATGGAATATTTTTCTTTACAAAATATAATTAATTTAGAATAATAAAAGAATAATATAGTATAAACCTATGGTAATATTGTTTATTTAGTTGTGAAAACAGGCAAATTCATTAAAAAAAATTGAAGGATGTCTTTTTTGCTACAAAAAATATATACAACTATCTATTACTTTACTTTCTGAGGCAAACTTCCAGTCAATTTACTGAGGAATAGGGTTCATTTATGGAACATACAAATAAAGCTTTCAGGGAGATTTAGAATCCTTTGCACATTTAGGTAGATCTTTTATAAAAGTTTCAAAAGGAAATAAGTTGTTAGTAGCTAATTTTTCTCACCACAGCAAGAGTTAAAGAAAATGTTAATGCATCAGTGCACTCAGTCAAAGCCCTTAATATGCTGATATTCTTTATAAACAATAAATGTTTTAATATAATTAATTTTGATCATGCAGTGTGAACTTTGATAACATGCTTTTTTTCGTTAACTTCAAATGGTGCAGAACTTTTTCTACTGTATGAGGCATGTACAACAGTACCACACAGGCAAACATGCAAAACTACTATCTTCCAGTTTGGTTTAAACAGAGGGGAAAAAACTACAGTGCAATATACACCTATTAGTAACAAATATTACATTACTTTACAACTAGTTGAAATGCAAATTACCACATTAAAGCCAGAACTCTAAAAATCATGCAGTATAAACACAGTCAATTTCCTAATATATATATATTTTCTTTTTCTCATTTATTTATAGGCAAATGAATTTTTTTTAACCTGAAGCAGAATAGGGCCTTAGTAAGGGAAGAAGAAACAATAGTTCCAACCTCTCTAATATCTATTTGTACCAATTACATTAAGTCATTTTTGCAAGCAGCGCAGTCCCAGGCTGGCTAGAGTGGGCACTAGATTTACACACTCTGGGTTGGGGGCTCCATGGGTCCCCTGAATGCTGGATCTGCCACTTGCTCTAGCCAGCTGGGGACTGTGCTCCAATCAGCATGGGACCTACACAGAACAGCTAGAACATGTTCCACTTGCTACCTATGTTTCGATCTGGCCAGAGTGAGCATTGCAGGTGCTGCATCCAGCATGTCGCGAGGGAGAAGGTAGGGTATCCATAGGCCTGATCCATCCCATGAAGCCAACCACTCACCATTCGTCTGGCCCATGGGCCAGATGAGTTTCACACCCTGATTTATATTATGCTGAAAACTTAATAGCTCTTCTGTACTTCTACACAAACAGCTACCATCCTTCTGGTTTGGGAGTAGTCAACACAGAGCAATACAGCATCCTAACTTAGTGGTATAGACATACAAAACTATTTAAACAAAGTCACTTCTGAAAGTCAATTCATCACAATGCAATGTACATTTGAATATCTTCTTTCACAACAAACGCCACTCATGAATTGCACTAAACAGTCTTAGTATTAGGGAAGTTTGTTAAGCTTGTCCAGTAGCACCCTGATTCCATTTTATATAAACTCATTGCTGAATACAGTAGCAGAGGAAAGCATTTAATGATACCTTTAATTGAAAGCCAAGTCAGATCACCAGTGCCAGCATTCCACAAAAGAGTAAAATTCAGTGATGTTAAGAGTAAATAATAAAGATGCAATAGCCAGATGCTCAAAGAACAACCAAGCTGCAATATCTAAATAAATTAACTTCTGCATAAAACTTTGTATATGCTGGAAAAAAATTCTCTAAAACGCAGAAAATAAAAACTCTCCTAATGCTACACAAACATTAGTATATCTCGATTATGTTTTTCATTTGTCTTCTATCACAAAGGAAGTAAAAATGCCTGATTATCATTCTAAATGGCAAATACAATACTAGAAAAAGCGTTGAAAACAGGGTTGTCTGCTATAAAACATTAACCTGCAAACAAAGTATTTTATTGCCTGTTAGTTACGCAAAACCAACCGCATTTAGCTAAAAACCAATGCACAGCCATTTTTAATATCGTATTTCACACTTCGTTTTCTTTATATTTTCTGAGACAAAAGGGAGCCCCAGCACAGCTTTACATGTATTAATATAGTTATGATTCCAATGAAGGAAAATTATGGCAACCATGTATGGGATTCTTTCTTTGTACATCTTTTCCATAAACAGAGAATGCTATTTAGATACTGAGACCAGATGTTCAAAAAATAACCATTTTAAGCATTTATTTCCTGTCAAATAAAATCTTACAACTATATATTGAAAAAATCCACCAACAAAAATAAGAAAAATAATACAACTGCACACAATATAACATAGCTAACAGCTACAACAACTACAACTGCTAACAATATAATATAGCCAATCTCTTGGATGAAATATGGACAAATGTATTAAGTAAGGGGGGACTAAAATTCCCCTAATATCCACTTTCTCCAAAACAAAATATGCATGTTTGTGCTATTCTAAATTAACAGGTACTGAAAGACAAGCAGGATCTTGGGCTGACCAAATGAACTGAATATCAATACAGATACACTGGAGTCATGCAGCCCACATTACTTCATTATCCATCACAAAAGTGTCACATACACTTTGAAGAGGAGGTAATAAAATGGAATCTTACTGTAATCCCACAAGAAGGTGCCCAGCTATGTTCAACTGCCTACCACTACTCCTGGAACTTCCAGAGACAGGAACAGTGCCACTCCAGAGAATGGAACAGGGTGGTATCTTAGGGCATTGAAGGTGTTTTAGTTCAAAAGCACGCCATTGCCATTTTCTCAGCACTAATGCACAGTTCGTCATTTATACAAATGCATGCAACACAGCAGCGGGCGCCTCAGCTTGATTAATCAAGTCTGCCCCAATGCACTGGATCTCTGGTGCATTGGAGCAGACAAATGTATGTATATAAATGTCTTAGAAATAAATTGGTCCAGAGAGGCATGAGCTTTCCTAGGCGACAGACTACTTTGCCAGATGCTATGTATAGACTTAGAAAAAGAAAATATTTAAACTGAAGGGTTTAAAACAGAGAGGAAACCAAATATACAAGAAAAGGACCTTGTGCTTGACTTCAGACTCGCATGTCTGACCACCTCTTTATCACTCCACAGTGGTACAATATTATCTCATCTAAAGTCCATGGATGAGTCAACAAAATCTAATGTTAAACAGCGATAGAGCTTATTGGTAAGCCTAAAAAGATCAGTACATACATTGTTCCATAAGAAAAGATCAACACAACTGTGATAGTTTCTACTCACATCTCAGATGGAAAAGAATCTTGGAAATACCATGTTTCTAGATAGCTCTCAAGCTAAGTTTAGCTTCAGCTCAGATTTTTCTCTCAAAAAAACTGCTTTACTGCTTACCAGCTATAAATTTCTCCAAGCTTTTAAAGTGACAAGTAGAGTTTAAGTAGCAATTATTCAGAGTATTTTATCAAACATACAAAAAAAATAAAAGGAAGTTTATATTTAATAGATCAGGCCTTGGATATGGATTAGAGGCACACTAATTGATACATTGGTCCCATATTGGATCGGCACCGATCCAGAATAATTTGCCAGTTTCAGAAATTGGCTTTTTTTGCCTGATGTGGCTGATAATGTGGCTGATAAATTACCCATGCATGCATGCAGCCTCACCATGCATGCAGTCAGGAACACAGCCCGGCAGCTTGGAGAGCAGCATCTGGATATAAGTCATACTATAATAAGCCTGTTGTGGGGGAAGGCGGGTGGGGGAGGCAGATCAAGGCTCCTGCGGTGAGGGAGGGAGTGGGGCAGGGAAAAGCGCTACCCAGCCAAAGCAGGTCGGGGTGCAAGAGAGAGCTGTGAGCAGCTTGTCTGGGGGGCACAAGGAAGGGGAGTGATGGCTCCTGCCAGTGTGCACCCCGGGAAGGCATGGGGGGGCATGTGTCCCCAGATATGCACATGAGGTGGGGCAGGCTGTTGCTGCAGGCTGGAGCTGGGGGCTGCAACGGGCTCTTCCTGGTGGGGGCCTGGGCTGGGCTGTGCTTGGGATGGCAGCATTGGATGGGAGTTACAGGGGGCTATGGTGAATTTTGGGGTTGTTGCAGCCCCCTCAGCCCCTTCCCAGTACCGCTGCTGCCTGTCCTGAGTGCAGCCTAACCCAGTCCCCTGCTGGAAAGAGCCCAACGCAGCCCCTGGCCCAAGCCCACAGAGACAACCTGCCCTGCCCCACATGCAGATCCGGGGGCTCATGCCCTGCTGGGGTGCACACAGCGCTAGGAGCCCCCTCTCCCCCCCCTGCACCACCCAGACAAGCCACTTGCAGCTCCGTCCTATGCCCTGCCCCAGCTCTACTTCCTCCCTCACCGAGGGGCCTCGATCTGGCCCCCCTATGCCTCTTCCCCCATACTAGACTTACCACCCCAACGCTGCTCTCCAAGCCGTCTGGCTGCATATTGGAACCAGATTGGTATCGGTTGATATGGCTCCTTAAAAACTGGCCATCGGTAATGGCCCAAAAAATTTGTATTGGTGCACCCCTAATACAGATCAACAGTTATGCCTGTATAACTTCCTTTAATAAGCATAGCTGCGGTAAAAATTATCATCCTGGAGCAGACCTACAAATAGTAAAAGCTGACTGTGTTCTACTGAAGGCACAGTGATTTACATTAATTTTTGGTAGGATATAGAATCTAAGAATACAATTCTGCCTTTTTAAGAGCAAAAACAAATAAGCTCTCAAAGACAAATTAGCAAAAAATCATAGTCACTTTAGAAGGGAAATGCTGAATGCATTGTTGTTTTAACAACCATATTTTGTAGGCTGACTGAGGAGCAACTTCATATTACTATTCTGCATATTAATTATGTGCCTCCTGGCTGACATCTTGGTTCTACTAAAGTTAATGGGTGTTTTGTCATTAACTTCAATAGGACTAGGATTTCACACTAAAATTGCAAGATTAATTACCAAACAAACTACAAATATTTAAAAAAAACCCTATGAAGACATAATAACATCAAATTACAAAATGCATCAATAGTATTTGGTTCACCTCTGATTTTTTATGAAACTATCTCCAAAGCTGAAGTTCAGAAGGCACCTATAAATGTTTCTGTTCATCACAGCAAATGCAACTATATTTCATTTAAATTTCTCAGATGTCTTATAGCTTATAGAAACCTATATATAGTATCATATTGTGAAAAAATGATTAGATTGCTTTGCCTTGTAATTTATGCAAACTCAACAACTGATGCAGCAGATTAGATTTAGAAAATGATAAAGCTCGGTTGAGTCATTGGTTGGCTTGTGAAAATTAATATATATTTATGTTTATATTGTTAAATAAATTAAAATTCAGATTTGAAAAATGAGAGTTCAGTGTCAGGATTTGTCTCTTAATTCATATAATTTGCAAAATATGTCACCATCTCATTTGTAGTCTGCAGAGTGAGTAAGAAATAAATGTAATAAATTTTAGCAGATGATAATGGGAATTAACAATATTGTGGTGCTTGTTCGAAGTACTTCACATAACACTGCAATGCTATTATCAGCATACTGAGGACTTTTTAAAACAATGACATCAACTTGAACTAAAAAAGGGAAAAGAAACCAGAAGCGGTTATAAACCACATCACACAATTTGCATGACATCTATGAGCATAGGGTCAAAAATGTCTTCAAATATCAAAGCAGACATGATTGTACAAACATGTAAAAGGCTCATATGGAGGAAAACAAAATGGATAAAGATCACCAGCACAGATGACAAGAAATTCATAAGTCTTTATTTTATACCTTTCTCGTTCTGGTGAATGCAAACTAGTGTCTGGTCTCAAGCAGTTGGTACTAGCACTCCTAGCCCTGTCAAGGGAGGGCTGTAGTTCACTAGTGCCAGTGCATTGCATCCAATGGTAGAAGAGAAAGAAAAAGAAAACAAAGAAAGGAATACAATGTTAGATATTAAATCATAAAATAATGTTATTTTTACACAAAATGTAGAATCACAATGATTTAATTAATAAAGATGTAAAAGAGCCAACTGGATGACAGTGTGAAGATTTGTTAAAATAAAAGAAACAAAAGATTATGCTTGAAATTATTTGCATAAGAATCTGAAGTAGATAAGACCATAAAATGAGACTAAACAATACCTACTTATGAGAGAGTGGAACAGGAAGTACTAAAATAATACATCCAGCTTTTATTACTAGGAATAAATCCACACCAACACAAAAGGATGGGATACAGCACATTTTAGGTGAAAGCAATTTATAATGACATTGACCTGGAAAGCCACATTACATACTTAACAGGAAGGGGTGTTTCTACTCAGTTTCTTACCTAATCAATGAGTCATCTGTAAATTTCAGTATTTGTGAGTTAAGGCAATCACGAAGGAGAGAAATATCCTGTCTAATCACCGATTTGGTCTTAGCATATGCAGGCAGAGTTGAGCTTTATAAATTCAAATTATTTAAAATGAAATATAAATAAAATAAAATAAAAATAAAGTTCACACATAATCAGAATGACACACAACCACAAAACCAGAAATGAGGGTGAAAGAGAACAAAACTGTAATCCTACACAACCCCAAAATTGATCTTTTAAGTAGAGCTTCAGGATAGAAGGACTTCACTAACACAAAGACTATACATTACTTATGTACAGGTTAATTTAGATAACTATCAACATTATTTTTAAGAGTATATGTTTTAGCTCAATTATTTAAGTTATACGGACAGTATCACCAATTCATTTTAAAAATTATTTTCTTTTTTAATAATTTGAGTGACTACTTAAAGGGGACTCTAAAATACTTCTTACCTGTAAATATTCCAGTGAGTACCATTCTCTAGTAAAGGCATCCTGGGTGGTAGTGTTTTATAGTGCCTAACAGAATTTCTTGAATGTGGCAGAATAGGGGCAGGGGGAACATGCCAGAAACAAAAATAAAGCGAAGATAAAACAATGTTGACTAGAATTTAAATTAAGTATAATGCATAATATTATACCAAGATTGAATACCTATGAAGCACAGGTTTTCTAGGGTATCTCCCCTCCTTCCCTGCTCACTCTCCCAAGTTAAACTGTAGTGATCAATACATGTAATTTCAGGATTCTATTTTTCTTCATCCCAATTTAGTTAACTGACAGACTCATAATAGGTCAGAAATTCTCCCCGAATTAAAATACTTTACAGCTTTTATATTGACTTCTCAAAAATGTCTGTGTTGTAAAGTGTTTAGTTTGTATTTAACTTACGTGAGAACCTGTTTTACTTTAATTTACATTTTATAGTGTAATTATCTCTACTACTTAAATATACAATGAATAAAAAGCTTACTAAAAAAACTGCATAGAATATTACAACTCAATTTGCATTGTATTAGTATTAAAAATTCCAACTTATTAAAGTCTTTTAGAGGTTTTGGATACTAGATTCAGGGATACTTGTTAATTGAAACAATATCAAAAATGGTGAGTTAATTTAATTTAAAAGTATAATAACACCTTTATTAATCAGCATAATAGAGAATTTTTTGGTGCTACCTGACAGCTTTTTGTATTATAATCTCATCTAGAACTTGGAGAGTAAAGCATCCCAGCCAAATGAAGTTACAGGGAAAATGTATAGACAGAGGATGACTATTTAACTTACAATATGGCCCACATAAGTGTAGCTAACTTGGATTAACACCCAAATTCTGATTAATGTCTATACAATTCACAGAGGCAGGACTTTGACAAAGTTGAAAGGGGAACAGACATCCTTGCAGCCCTTCCTAGCTGCAGATATAGTCCTTCCTAATAGCATCTCAACTCCAACTGAGATTTACTGTCAGATACACATTATAAGGCTGTCCCTTGTTAAGGTTAAGTTATGTTAAGGTGAATCATATCTTTGGATCTGAACACCTCATAATATGTGGGTTTCCAATTCCGGATCCTGATTCTGCAGCTTGGACCATCTTACTTTGAAGTGACATTGGGGCACGTTCGTAACACTTTAATTGGATTTTACAGGAAGATTTTGAGGTTTTCTGTCAAATTAAGGCATCTTGCTATGGTTCAAGAAGCATGACTTTCAGCCCCAGTCTGAACTTGTCTCAGAAGTTACACTTCAGTTGATCTAGCTCTAAATAAGTACCTAATCAGTCATCCAGGCTGGGGATGTGCTAGCCTATCACTCCCTAGTTAGCCTTATCCATGCTAGTCCAATAGCTGTTTGGACGTAGGTGGACTCTCAACCACATACATTTATCAGGAAACAAAAAGCAGTTAAATTGATATCTGTTGTAACATTTCCAAAGAACTCCATTATATTACTACATAGCATGGAGCTCTTAAATGAACACACAGATCAAATACACTTTTAAAAGCCCCATTCTGTTTTTACAGTATCAATATTTTAAATGAGTGTGTAATGTACTCAATAAGACAGTGAGGAATTAATTACAAAAACTAGACCACGACATAGTGAAGGCAAGTGAAGTAAGATCCTAATTCAGTGCATTCCATTTCTGACATCATAACTCTCTACATTTTTTTCAATTGCAATTTTTTCAGCAGACTATGGACCGGCCAAAGCATGTGGTAATATTGTTAGACTGACGCAAGGGGTCAGGCAAAATCCATCAAATTATGTTAGATTTTTGAATGAAGTAAGAATTTTAAAATCTGTAACTCAGCCATTTTTACAGACCATGATACCTTGTGAAGGGAAAGCAACAAGGATAGAATTAGACAGGAAGAAGAAGCTGCAGAAGAGGGAGCTCAAAGAAGACAGGTTAGAAGAAGGAAATGGAAGCATTGGACCAGTTCAGAAGAAATTTACATGTCATGAAAGGGGTGAAGAACGAGAACTTTCTTAGTCACAGGACTAGATCCCTGATCCCAGCAACTGCGCCTTCTGCCTTGCCACACACGTGCATATCTTGTGTAAAAATTTGGTAGGTTATTCCCCGTTTTAACACACCATTAATTGCTTGAACATGTAGCCAGATACTGCTTAAGATGTAATTAACTGGTTAAGTATGCCTTGCATGCAAAGTCTGCCAGAGGCCTAATAGGTTACACTCAATGGATTTTTAATTAAATAGCTGCACTGATGCTAAGGTTGTTATTAAGTATTAATTAATAAACACTTACTAAGTTTTATGTTGTGTAACATGACTCAATTTTTCCCCTTCAATTCTCTCTTATTAGACCCTCTTATTAAAACTCCTGCAGATGAATTAGTTAAGAGCAAAATGTGGGAAACACAGTAGTTCGTCCTGGGCATAAAAGTATTAAGGGAAAAGAAAGGGATCAGAGGAGTTGCATTGGACTAAGTCATGTTTAGGATTATTTTTCCCCCAAAATTAATTTCCAAGATAAATCTAAATAGAATGCTGACAACAATTCTTAATAATGACTTATTTTTGATAGAAAAGTTCACAGAAGTTGTCTTTAATTCTTCTACCTGTACTAACTGGAAAGGATTGTTTGTTTTTAACTGAAAAAGCTGCTTATATAAAATAATTATAACTCTTATTAAAGTCACCATAGAAGGAGGTGTAAAAGTTGTCATGCTTAATTGGCTGGAATTTCTTATAAAAATAAAACACAAACTGAAAAGGTCTCACAACTCCCAAAATCACAGGGGAGATTTGCAAGAGATTTTTCTTTGATGACCAAAAACTAATTTATTTTGACATGGATTATAGATTTGAATTAGCCAATTTATTTTGAGACAGAAATATAGAAATAAAGCATCATAAGACCTTTCCTACTATACATTTATCTCATTCAATGCTTTGCAGATTCTTATATGCATGTGGAATACAATCTGAGATTAGTCTAGGAGGCTGGGCTACCTTTCTTTTATAACACTTTGCCAAAATTTCACTTTTGCCAATCTAGGGATGGTTCAGATATGAAATCTACATTATCTGAAGCTCTTTACTTGGGGGTGTTGTTAAAGATGGGCCCAAGCTGCACAGCTTATATCTGGATCCAACTTCTAGCCACATTAGGGGAAAAATGAAAAAATGTTGCCAACCTTTAGTTTCCACTGGCCGCGTCGACACAAATGTTTAACCAAGTACTAAATGACTGCACAGTAACCAGTGTTACTGTGCAGTCCCATCACCACACGCTTATTTTTAGACGCTACTGAGCAGTAGCGTCGCAGTCACAATTCATGCCTGGTGATGCTATGGTGCCATAGCAACGAGCATTGTCACTGTGCTGTAGCATCTCGTGTAGATGTGCGTGCTGTCACTTACTTGTGTGAAACCAGTGAAGGTCCTCTGAAAGTGGTCCTTTGCTGCGTGTGTGTGTGTGTGTGTGTGTGTGTGTGTGTATGTGTGTATGTGTGTGAGTGATTTAACTTAAATATTTAAGACCCAGTTGGTCACTGTGGCCACAAATATTTCGTATCCCAGGGACAGTAGAAAGCAAGTAAAACAGACTGTAAAAGTATTTTAACTAGGCCTGTGAGAATAGGGAAGTATTCAATTTGGATTCAGCCGATTCAGAGGACAGTGATTCAATTCAGAGATTTGGATCACTGTCCTGAATTGATTCAGCTGACTCAGCTTCAGAAGATTTGGCGCTGATTCAGAGAGATTTGTATTAGCTGGAAAGAGGCAGGCAAAGCCAAGAGGGTGCAGGTTCTCCCGTGGCTCCTCCACTTGCGCCTGCCTCTCCCTGGGCAGGGGAAGCTGCAGGAGAAAGAAGCCCCCATGGCTACCTTGCCTGGCCCAAGACTAGTCCTGGCATTTTAAAAAAAAAACCCCACAAAAAACCCAAAAAAATACAACAAAGAAAGCATTCTGGGCCTTGCCACAACTATGCTCAGATTCCAAACCAACATTCAAACCGTAAGGTGGGCAGTTGTTAAGACTTGCCAAGTGAAGTAATAATGTGTTATCCTCATTCATTTAGTCATATGCTCTGAGAAATTATTTTCAAGTTTGCTGAAAAACACCCAAACTAATGTTAATATTATATAAGTAATAACAGAAAAAAATTAAAAACACACAAAAAAATAACAAAAAAAGTATAATACTACAGTAAGTCTGCCATACATTGGAAGATCAGGTCTTTTATGACTAGACAGGTAATCCAGCACATAACTATATGCTGCTAAATTGTTTGGATTATTTAAATATAGGGGTAAATGTAGACACTTCAAGACTTTCAGCTGCTTTGATTCTAGTGACCAAATTTAATGTGTCCAAATCTTGGTCAGGTTTTAAAAAGTGGATATATGATCAACAGATTAAACCATTTCCATGTCTGGAAATATTATCTTTTACCTACTGGAACATGAATACAACTGAAGGAAACAAATGGGCTTTAAAGTACATAGATATTGAACATATGTGCTCATTATCAAATTCCTGTATTTACCTGGTGGTATGTAGGCACTCTGCACTTCTTCCTCGTTTTGCTCTGGGCAGCATAAGAAGCTCACTGCACAGACAGGATGGATGGTGAGTGAAACAGATATATATATGAAGCATTAGGTGATATGAGTTATGCCCATGATACGCAAATGAAAACATAAAAAGGAAACTAGAAACTGGCACTGAGATTGTTAGCTCAATAGTGTTCAAACCAAGTCAAATTACAGAATTTCTCAAAAATGTGAGCAATCTATGAAAGCTAATTCTTTTTTAAAAGAAAAAAAAAAATACGAAACTTAAGGGCTTTCAATGGTAAAAGATTGCCAGGATCCTTTATCATCTGACATTTATTGTAATAGCAATTTACTGTTTCTTCTAGCTAATATTTATTAAAACATTAAAATATATTCATGAAAAAGGAATGTCACAACACTCATTTTTTGAACACAGTAAAATGTATGTAGAGGGAAAAGAGGGAAAACTGATTTATTTTCATGCTTTGCTATATCCAGTGAAACAAGGAGCTCCTCATTCTTTTGGGGAAAAAGAAACCTGTTCACTTTGACATTTGTTCTCATGCTGGTTTTGATTAAAAGCTCGTTCATAATATGTCCTCCAGAGAAATGCATTAGAAGTGCACCAATATATCGGTTGCATATCAGATCGGCACTGATAAAAGAGAAATTTACATTATCAGCCATCAGCTTTTTTTGGTTGGTGTAGCCAATAATGTTCAAAGATAAATATAATTAGTTATGCCACTGGGGGCCCCGGATGCCACGTGCATGTGTGTGGCCACACGCATGCATATTGCTAGGAATACAGCTGGGCAGCATGGAGAAAAGTTCCTTGCATGCAAGTCTGTGGAAGGGAAGAGGTGTGGGGGAGGGAAGTGGCATGGGGGGCAGATTGAGGCCCCCACAATGAGGGATGGAGTGGGCCAGGGGCATAGGTAGGGGGTACTACCCATCAGGGCAGTGAATGGGACCCAGAGCCGGGGCACAGAGCGGGATGGAGCTGCAGACAACTCACCCAGGGAGTATCGGGTTTGGGGGTGGCTCCCCCCCTACTGCGTGCACCCTCTGGGGGAGGCATGGTGGAGCATGAACCCCCCCAGATTTGTGCATGGGGCGGATGTGAGCTGCTCGCTGTGGGCTCGGGACTCTCTGCCCTGCTGCCTTTGCCCCATGAGCTCCATACTGGTCACTCACTCCCTACCCATCAAGCAGTATTGGGGGTGGTGAATTTTGCCCCCAACTGCTGGAAGGGCAATGGGTGCACAGCTGGTGCAGGACTCCTGGGGCAAAGGCAGCACAGCAGAGAGCCTGAAGCCTGCAGCAAGTAGCCCGCATCTGGCCTTGCCTTGCTCAGCTCTGCTCCAGTTAAAAGCATCCTCATACTTAAAAATGATGGTGGCAGCACTTGAACTTAAAGCTCATTCAGTGAGCTTTAGTTCAAGCACCTCTGCTACCATTTTTTAAGTGCTGGGACACTGATCTCCTGGACGAACTGCCCTCGGCTCCATCCCAATCCCTGCCTCAGCCCCAGGTCCCATTCAGCACCCTGGCTGGGCAGTGCCCCCAGCCCCAGTCCCTGACCCTGCAACACTCCCACCCTCACTATGGAGGCCTCGATCTGTCCCCCCCACACCCCTTCCCTCCCTTATGCCCCTTCCCCTCCACAGACTTACCTGTAGGGAGCTGCTCTCCACACTGCCCAGCCACATTCCTGTAAATCGGTTATCAGATCAGTATCAACCGATACGACTGGTTAATAATCAGTGCACCTCTAAAATACATTTTAGCTACTTGAAAAAAATACCTTCCTTTCTAACCATTTTTGTCTTATAGTTTGGACATCTATTCCATTATTGCAAACAATTGTATGTTACAAAAGCCATGTGTAACGGCTAACAAAATAGCCACTGTAAATTATTACACATTTCTGCTTCTGGTAAACATACCTGTGATAAAAGCATGTCTCCTAGCTTATTCTTGATAGTGTATACTCTACAACACAAGTCACAAAGACAGGTCCCAAAAGTCCCTTACTATTATAAATCCAAAGTAAGGCTAAATTTCATGAAGATGTATCATTTAAAAAGAATCAACAAATCGTATGAAGTACCATGTAACAGAGAGAAAAAAGATTTTAAAATTATGCAAAGTGGTAAAATGTTCAATTTTTTTCATGCTTCATACTGTCATGAAATGACAAATTTCACTATAGAAACTGACATGTCAGTGATTCCCAAACTGTGCTCCACAAACTATGATCAGTGTCCATATCTGGTCTGCAGAATTCACCCCTTCCTGCCCCCAATTTTACATTGGATAAGAAATGTGCCTCATGAGAAATTCTGAATGTTGACAGTGGTAGATTGGTCCAAACATCTTGGGAATGACTATCAACAATAATATTTATGTAATATTATAAACTGGGAAAATTCAAGCTGTTTGTGTAATCCACACGCAAGATTAATTTTTGTGTCTGGAACTACAGGCCTGATTTTGATGCAACAAAAAATTTTAAAGGTGAACTGAACTGTTTTTATTAAAATAGGGAAATAATAGAATTATTTATTATTTCAGATTAAAACAATTTTGTTTTATTTGGTGCAGATTTCCAAACTGCCAATAAATACAAAATACTTTCTTCTTCCTCCCATAAGCATCACAGCTTGCATTTCTTTTACAGGAGTTGAACTCATTACTAGTCACCAAACTGCAATAAACAAACAGTTCCATCTACTGCTTAGTTATTGGAAACAAGCAGTTACACTAGAAGGACTAGAACCATAAGAACCATACTCATAAGATCCTTGCTTAATATTTACAGGAGATGGCCATTTCATATAATGAAATAAAATACAAATATAAATAGGAAATAAAATTATGTTTTCTAAAATTTAAAAGCAGCTAACGGTAGACTGCTGATAGCCCTTTAGAGTACTGATAGTACATACATTTTGAAACTTTTACAGAAAAGGCTATGTCTCTAGAAAAAACATTTTTGAAGGAGACAGCAGATAACAATTAAATCCTGATACTACCACATTTTATTTAGAAACAAATCCGCTGAATAAAAAATCTCAGTAAAAATAAGATGATGATTCCCAAACTCTAATTTCTTCCATATTTTTTCATTAAAAAGAAAAGAACAATTAGGTCATTGGGAAATCTGTTACAATGTCTTTCAGATGAATCTTTCAGTAGGCATGTCACTATAAGGCCATGATATGTAGCTTTCTAAAACTGCAAAGGATTGTCTGCAATTGTCTCCTTCATAACACTTTAAAAGCAATATCCAGGGTTGTTAAATAAAGATATAAAGGGTGTTATTCAGAAGGCATGTTTACTATTGATTTAGCTGGACTAGTGAACTTGTAACAAAACAATCAGATACAACCAATAACTAGAGTTTATTGCATAGGCATAGTGGGAAATTCAATGGGAACATCCATACCTTCTCGAGGAGTTATATAGACTGATACTAGCAGGTCTATGGTTTACACAACGGATTCATGAAAACATATTAGAAGATGACATCAAGTAAAGGCTAATTTCAAAAGCCTTCATCTTTGGCAGCAAGTACAACAGGCTCAAGCCAGAGACACTCCTATTATTCACTAATAAGTATGCGGGATTCTATACTAGATACCTCTGCTCAAAAGGAGCCAGTGGGAGCTGTATTGGGCTTCCTGACCTAAAGGTGCTTATAGTTCTGAGGAGAAATTAGATGTTTGCACCTGCATCTCTGAAGAACATGCTCCTACCAGGAGTACAGGAACCATTCAGGATAAGAAATTTATAGCAGATGTTACATTTATCCCACACAAAAGCCACCTTCTAAAAGCAGAAGGCAGAAAACTGAAAACTTTTGATTACTTCAGTCCTATCATAGGTCTGTAGTCTGAGCTCTACTCTAGTTATTTTCACTCCAGAAAAATTAAAGCCCTACTGCCCTCCTACCAAGCCCTCCCATGCAAACAGAAAGACCGAAAATACAAGTATAATTACAAATTATAGTGGAGGTTTACATAAATTATTTTTGGTTTGGATCATGGGATAATTTTATTTATGATTTATTGTCTAAATTAGTATCTAGTGAAACGAACCACTTTTAAAATCCCTTCTTTTCCACCATACTTTCTATGGAAAATGTTAAATAAAAATATTTTGAATGATTTTTGATGACAACTGGACAACAAAGAATACACTGAATTATAGGCACATGGTAGAAAATACTGTAAGTCTCATTTTATTATATTTTAAAAGCATTTCAATTCACCTCTAAGAAACAAAATGAATAGTATAATCCAACTCATACAATTCTGTATATATTTCTTGCCTATATGAATTTTGCAGTTGGAAAACAACTTAGAAATTTAAAACCATTGACTATAACTTGTTAAGGTCTATATGAAAGCTCTTTCATTCAAAAACAAAAAAGGCAAGATCATATACAAAACTGAATTCGAAGAGCTGCAAAAGCCATTTGTTATTAACTTACCATGTTGCTTCAAAACTGGACAATATGTTCCAGAATTTTTTTTGTTTTATTCCTGTCACACATGCCTTCATACTAGTACAGACTGAATTGTCCTGAATTTACTAGGAGTAACCTCAAGACTGCAGAAACTCTTATTATGATGTTTTCCAAGCAAGCAATAAGTTGCTGTCAAATATGGACAGTCCATACTGGAATCCAGTAATGAACAAAAGCATATTTTTATAATTAGTTCATAACTCCATGATTTATGCTTTCCTCCTTTTCTCTTATTCTACCCTATAAAGATAGTTTTCATTATCCATACAGAATAGAAAATGTATTTACCGATGCACAGCTGGAGTTCTTTGAAATGCGCTGACTCTATGTGCACCCCATTAAAAGGTACGCATGCCCAGTGTACCTCAGATGAGATCTTTTTATTAGCACTGCCTATTCACTATATTTATTCTTGTGCACTTTCTAAAGTGTGTAAGTGGCAGGGGAAGACTAAACCCAAGTATTTTCATGCAGGAATCTAAAGCAGATGGAGAAGAGCCAGTATTGGAATATGCACATGGGTAACATATCTCAAGAACTCCATTCATGTTGTTTGTAACTCTTTTTTCTTCTTTGAGTGCCCATCCCTAGGTGTATTACACTGTGTATGACTCATAAGAGGTGGTTGCCATATTGCAGAACTCATTGCAGTACTGTCTTTTCACAACATCTCCAAAGCAGTTATCTGCACAAATGGTACAGCATTGGAATCATCCCCATTGTACTGCCCTGAATATCAGTGACAGAAATGCTTTTAAAGGAAGCCATGGAAACTTTTATTGGCTCTAGTTCAGGGGTTCTCAACCTTTTCATGTTGTGGACCAGCAAACCATGGATGGAAAGTGACTGCAGACCAGCAAACTGCAAACCAGCAGTGACTGGCATACTGTGGGCAGGTAGCCAAACCTTTTATATACTTAATGTAAAAAAGGGTTGGCTGCCAGTCCACAGTGTGCCGGTCACTTCCAGTCTGCAGTTTACTGGTCTGCGGTTTGCCGATCCACAGTCACTTCTGGTCCAGCAGCCAGCCCTCCTGTGGCTTGGCACTGGGCTGCAGCCCAGGGATTGGTAAGCCCTGCTCTAGTTGACCATGCTAGAATATTTTCATATGTTAATGTTTTAGTGAGGTCATAAAATAGAGCACAGCCAAATATATACCTTAAGTGTGCTTGCGTGAACTGCATCAGCTCTCAGTATATTAGCAAAAGAAACCATCTGAGCATTTCAGTTGTATGAAAATAAAAGGCTGACAACTTTCTAATATGTAGGGAAACATTACCTTGCCTTGATGATATAAAACTGTCAGCCACAACTGTCAAGTGCTTTGAAAATATTTTTGGTACTGCTGAAAGGCTGACTGGCTGGCATTCATTGTTGGTACCAGTTGTGGTAAACAAATTTGAAAAAAAATGTTTGCTGCATGAACATCTATGTGAAAAATGTTACTTTCATATTGAGAGCCAGAAACTAATTTCCCTGATATACTGAAGGGCCTGTAAAGTGACCATTGTAAATCTCAGGTGGCTAATGTTTAACTTCCTGAGATCCAGCATGAACCTGTCATTTGTTTTTTTTCTTTGAGACCAGGACTTGCTTGGAGTAAAAACCTCCCCCTACAAATTACAACATAAGGATTCTCTGACAGATGGAGATGAGAGGCCACTCCTACTTGATTTGAGTAACGTTTCATAACAAGGGTGCCTGAAACAGGAGCAGGTTGAAAACAAGTAATGTTTGGAACTGGATTGCGTATCTGGTAGTTTCCAGAACCCATATGTTCATTGTTCTTGTCTTTCAGGTTCTTCAAAACCAAGAGAAGCACCCTCCATATAGGTGGAAGAATAAGAAAGGGCAGCTAATTAAATGACCATGGGTACACAGGTCTTCAGGGTCTTATCAAAATATAAGTGTAGCAGGTAATGGCACAGAAAAGTTCAGCAGATGACAGAGTACAAAGGAACAATAAATCTTCTCTTTTGAACATACTGGCATTTTCATAGTGGTTCTTAAAATCACTGCATGAGTGTGGGAACCTGAGAATGGCAAAAGCTGCACAACAAAAAGCCTCTACACAATATTTTTTCATGTGGTACATACAACATGGAAAAAAGTAGGTTGGTTATGCTTTCAGTGCACTGCTGCTTAGCCCAGTGCACTACAGGGGTGCACTATCATTCCTGTCTGACAAAAGTGCCAGGAAGGACCAGGTCCTGCACCACCTCTTATGCCCATAGAATGGTAAAAAAGGACACTGTAAGTACTTGCACAGATCAGGCTGGAACTGTTAGCAAAAAATCTCCAGTCTTGGGTACATACAGTGCATGCACACCAACAACAGAATATACACAGGGACAGGTACCTGAAAAAAGAACCGTTCTTTAAGCCAATAATCACTACTGATAAAAGCATCTTCTCTCTTAATGTGCATCTTGGTTTAATATAGTCACAAAATCATGATTGTTCTTCACCATGGTGATTACTTTTCCCCATTAACACAAATCTACACTTTATTCAAACACTATCCAAAAATACAAAGGCACTTCTAAATTTGCTCATAAGTTTAAGTTGAAAACTGTACCTTTCTTGATCCGACAAATACTGACGATCCATGTCTCTGGACCTGCGATCAACTGGACTTCGGGAGGCATCGTGGTGTCTGGTTGGAGAACGTGATCTTCTCATTTGATGAATTTCATCTAAACTCCTAAAAATATTTGTAAAGTTGTATGAATATGATAATTTTCTGTCCCTTACTTAGCAGGTTATAGTACAATACAGTACAAGTTTATGAAAGGAAAATATCATAGTTTCATAGTTTCTAGGGTCGGAAGGGACCTGAGTAGATCATCTAATCCGACCCCCTGCCATGGCAGGAAAGATTACTGGGGTCAAATGACCCCAGCAAGGTGTTCATTTAGCCTCCTCTTAAAGACCCCCAGGGTAGGAACCAGCACCACTTCTCTTGGAAGTTAGTTCCAGATCCTAGCTGTCCTGACCGTGAAGTAGCGCCTCCTGATATCTAGCCTAAATCTACCCTCTGCCAGCTTGTGACCGTTATTCCTGGTCACTCCTGGCAGTGCACAGGTGGAACAGAGACTTCCCCAGTGCCTGCTGATCCCCCCTGACTAGTTTGTAA